AATTAGAGAGAATCTAGTGGTCTCACTCGATCAGAAGGTGGGAAATATATAAATCTAGTCAGCTCAAAAGGTTTGAAATGTATTCAACGCACATGTACGGAGAAAATGGTGCATTGGCCAGGTCGGTCAGTATCGGAACTTAAAATGCAAATGCCAAGGAGAACGGAAGCGCTCAGATCTCGCATAGTACACGGAATCAATGTGAAGAAGTGAACGAGAGAATGTGTGAACTATGAACGAAGTGAGTACAAATAGGAAACCCTAGCTGGGTTGTACCCCCTATGGGATACCCCACTATAGCCTACACAACTAAGTAAGCTATAATGTTCTGACACACCCCCATAGGCAAAGTGGGGGAGAACAAGGGGTCACAAGACCAGTCAAGCAGAGCAAAGCAAAGCTCAGGGTGGATCACGAAGTCACCACACATTCCGAGCACAAGTTCAAGGGCCACAAGGCCAGTTCACATGCAAGATCATATATATAGAGATATACAAGAGTCAAGCAAGCAAGAGCAAGACTATATATATGTGACGGTACAAGGAAGGTCAAGAAGTGAGCAAGTGAGGCAAGACAGACACAAGACCCAGCTGCGTGCAGCAACGCTGATGATCACAAGGCGCAAGTGCCTTGGTGAACACATCAGCAGTGTTGGCCTCAGAGGCCACGTACGCAAGTCGCAACTGTCCACGCTGCTGTAGCTCACGAGCAAGAAAGTAGCGGAGAGCAATGTGCTTTGTCCTGTGCTCCAGTCTCTGCTCTCGACACAAGGCCAGCATGGCCTTGTTGTCTACGTACAGGACTGGAGGAGAACGAGGCTGCTCTCCAAGGTCGGTCAGCAGGTAGGTGAGCCAGCGTAACTCCTGTGCAGCCATAGCCCCAGCGTAGATCTCAGCCTCACAACTGGAGCCGAGAACAGAAGACGAGCGGGTAGCCCGCCACGAAACAGAGCCGGAACCAAGGCTGAAGGTGTAACCCTGTGACGACCGCTGCGTAGCCTGGTCGTCAGCCCAAGAAGCGTCTGCGTGCCCAGTGAGGACCACTGGACTGCGCCCTCCAAGCACTAGCCCCATGCCTGACGTACTGCACAAGTAGCGCAACACCCTCTTCGTTGCAGCCATGTGCTCTGGTCGGTGTCTCCCAGGAGCAACATAGCGTGCGAGAATGCTAAGAGGGTATGCAAGGTCAAGTCGAGTGCAGGTCATCAGGTACATGAGGCAGCCAACAAGCTCTGCATACGGGCCACTCGACTCTACGGACTCATCCGAAGGCAGAGCTGAGAGCGAGTGGCGAGTAGGCAGGAGGTGGCCTGAGGCGAGGAGTACGTGAAGCCGAAGCGCTGAAGGACCTGCTGCACCATGTGTGACTGAGTCAGGGTAATGGTGCGGCGTGCTCTGTCCCGGGTGATCTGCAAGCCAAGGTAGCTGCGCAGTTCACCCGGGTCAGTGCACGTGTGTCTCTTCTGCAGCTCGGACTTCACGTAGGCGAGTCCAGCAGTGTCAGCTGTGGCAAAGACCAAGTCGTCGACGTACACGAGGATGTAGAACGGCGGCAGAGAGGTGTCGGTGCGCAGAAACAGCGACGGGTCGGCAGTAGACGGAGCAAACCCAAGTGCCGCGAGCGTAGTCCTCAGTGTGTCGTGCCACTCACGTGGCGCCTGGCGGAGACCGTAGACTGGACGCCGGAGACTCCACTGGGTACCAGGAGGGAAAGACCCAGTGAAGCCAGGTGGGCGGCGCAGCCAGATCTCCTCGTGCAGACTGCCCTGCAAGAAAGCTATGCTGAAGTCGAGAGAGTGCAGCTCGTAGTCACGGTGAGCAGCAACGTGCAGCAGAACCCGAAGAGTGGTCATCTTCGGGGTGGGGGAGAAGGTCTGAAAGTAGTCAACCCCCTGCCGCTGACTGAAGCCACGAGCCACGTAACGCGCCTTGAAGACAGGCGGAGAACCCTGCGGCCGCTTCACCCTGAAAATCCACATGCCACTGACAATGTTCGCCCCAGGAGGGGGGACAGCGTCGACGTAGGTGCCTGTGGACTTCCAGGAAGCCATCTCTGCGTCCATAGCTGCCTGCCACTGAGAGGAGTAGGGACCCTCTATCGCCTCCGCGTAAGAGCGCGGAGTCGGGATGTCTGGTGCATCCGGGTCTCCCTCAGGGGCTAGCAGTACAGACGCGAGATGGGGTGAAGCGGCGGCCAGACACTGGAACTCCTCCTGCCTGTCCTCAAGGACGTCCGTGCCGAGGGCACACTCACCCCCGACGGACGGAGGACAGGCAGACTCAGACTCAGCGACAAGACTGGCAGCGTAGTCTAGACGACAGCGCGCTGCAAAGTCGACAAGCTCAGTGACAAGGGCAGACGCAGCAGACGACTCGAAGGAAGGGTCAGTGACAGCAGTAGCAAGGAGACGCGTGACAGTAGGACTGGCAGCACGAAGAGAGTCCGACTCCGGGTCGGCAAGAGCAGGAAGAGAGGAAGCAGGAGGAGAAGGCAAAGGGGCACGCAGAGGAGCAGTGGACGGACGCAGAGACATCCGGTGCGTGCCAGGGACAGGAGGAGGACGCTGACGCGAACCGCGAACACTAGCGCGCTCTGGACGAACAGGCGACGCAGGACGAGACGCAGGCTCACGACGCTCAGTAAGACCTCCAGTCGGACCAGCGTAGGGAGGAGGAGCAGGCAAAGGGGAGGCAGGCTGTAGCTGTGGCTGTGACCGGACAGGCTGCGGACCCTCTAAGGGAGGAGGAGAAAGTGGAAGACCAAGAACCTGCTGCAGGAGCGGAACGAAGTACGGTCGGGGCCGCGCGGCGACTCCAGAAGCAGCAGGAACAGCACCAGCACCCTCGGCAGGAGCACCCACTCCAGTAGCACCTCCAGCAGCACCAGCAGAAGCTCCAGAACCTCCAGCAGCAGCACCAGGAGCACTGTCAGTCGGACCGCCAGCAGCAGGCTCAGCGCCAACACCCTCAGCAGCACCAGCTCGAGGAGAACCCGCAGACCCAACACCTCCAGCACCCACAGGACGAGCACCGCCGGGACGCGCGGCAGCAGTGCCCTCTGCAGCCGAAGAACCACCAGCACTAGCAGCACGCCTCCAGCGCCTGGCAAACCACTCACGCAGCTCCTGTGGGGAGAGTGGCTCCCGGCGAGACGTAGCACCCCCAGGCACAGCACCCCCAGGCTCAGCACCCCCAGGCACAGCAGTCCCAGGCACAGCACCTCCAGGCTCAGCACCCCCAGGCTCAGCACCCCCAGGCTCAGCACCCCCAGACTCAGCACCCCCAGACTCCGCACCCCCAGGCTCAGCACCCCCAGACTCCGCACCCCCAGGCGCAGCACCCCCAGACTCTGCACCCCCAGGCTCAGCTCCCGCAGCAGCACCAGAGTCACCAGTGACCTCGACAGGCTCGACCGCGTCTACCTGGGACACACCTGACGGGGCAGGACCCTGAGGGGGGAGGGGGTCTACCGGGGGGGGACCTGGTACCAGGAAAAGCGGGGGCGGGGGGAGGGACGGAGTGCGGTAGGGGAAGAGGCGGTAGTAGGGTACCGACTCGTCGAACGTGACGTCCTGGGAGGACAGAACACGTCGAGAGGTGGGGTGGTAGAACTGCCACCCAGGGGCGTCGGGGGGGAACCCCAGGAAGACGCAGGGAGCAGCGCGAGGGGACAGTTTGTCCGCAGACAAGTCGCGGACAAACGCCCGAGATCCCCAGACCCGGAACGCCGACGCATCGCCAACCTTCCCCGTCCACAGCAGGGCTGGGGAGGTCTCCGGCCTGGAGACCCTGGGGTGGAGGTTGATCTGATGCGCTGCGTACCTGACCGCAAACGGCCACAGAAAATGGGGGGCAGCCGCATGCATCATGGACGTACGGGCGACGTCCATGACCATGCCAATGCGGCGCTCAGCAATCCCATTTTGCTGTGGGGAGTCCGGAAGCGTGAAGGACTGGCGGATGCCTCGCGCCCGACAGTAGGCACGTAGAAGGCCAGAGGAGAACTCTCCGCCTCTGTCAGAGTGCAGACGCAACACAGGAAAGTCGGAGCCAAAGCTCTGCCTGAGCTGAAGACGAGCTGCGCGGATCCAGTCGATCAGCACCTCAGTAACCTCACCCTTGCTGCGCAAGGGGAAGACTGTGGTGTAACGCGAGTAGTCGTCAACAACGAGCTGGAAGTAGCGCTCGTGACCCTGTCCACGGACGCGGGCTGGGCCCCACACGTCCATGTGAAGTGTCTGCAGCGGGGCCTCTGTCGGAGGAAACTGGGAGGAGTGAGGGGCAGCACGCTGGCGCCCCTCGACACAGGGGACACAGGCAGGGCCAGGGCCCTGAGGAAGGGGAGGTAGAGACCGGGGGAGACCAGACACAAGAAGACGGGAGGCCATGCCTCTGAGCCGAAGCAGAGAGGGGTGGCCAAGGCGGTGGTGCCAGAGGAGGGTCTCGTGAGACAGACGACGACACGAACAGGGGGAAGACTCAGGAGCAGACCTGGACGCTGCGGCAAACACCTGACCAGACGAAGGGACCCTACCAGACTCAGGACCTGGAGGAGAAGCAGTGGTCAGTGTGTATAGGCTCGACCCTGGCCGACGTGTAAACGTAGCCAGGTGGCGTCCCGTGCTAGCCTCCGTGCAGTGGGTCACCCGCTGACGAGCAGGAGTGAACTGGTGGACACCCGCATCCTGTAGGTCAGCACCACTCACCAGGTTCGTCGAGAACGAGGGGAGGTAGAGACCAGACAGGGTGCCAGAGGGGGCCGCCGGACACGGAAGTACCGTGGAGAAGCGAGACAGGACAGGCCCCCCAGAGGGGTCAGCCAGGGACACCGCAACCGGCCGACTCAGCGGCGTGAGAGTAGTGCGGTCCCGAAAGAAGGAGCGAGACGCTCCAGAGTCAAGTGTGAAGGTGTGAGAGGCCGAAGCCGACACAGTACCTGAGAGGGCAGACTCACCAGTACTTGAGAGCACAGACGCACTGGCACCTAGAGCAGCAGCCTCACTAGTACCTGACGCAGCAGTACCAATGCCCGGGTCGGGCGGGAAACACCGGTAACAGTCATCCTCATCACTACCAGTCACAACATACATAGCAGAAAGAATAGCATCAAGGTCAAGATCATAAATGGCTACACCAGCCCTAGAGAGCTCCCCCCAGCGGGGGATCTCAGCGGCCTCCGGAAACTGCTGACGCCAGGCGTCGGTCAGGCGGCCAAAGCAGCGGCGGGCTGTGTGGGTGCCTCCACACCTCTCCCCCGCACGGTCGCCGGTGCGGAGAACGTAGGGGCAGGGACCAAACGCACCACCACGCTGACGCTGCAAGTACCACTCACGGAGCTGCTGAGGGGCGGGGACGGTGCGGGAGCGCTGCTGCTGCTGCTGCTGCTGCTGGCGCTGACCACCCCCAGAGCTGCTGCGCTGGGACGAGACACTCCGACCCCCGCCGCCACCGCCACTCCCGCCTCCACCACCGCCCCCGTCTCCACCGCCACCGCCCCCACTGGTACCCTCGCCCCCGCCTCCTACGCTACCGCCTCCGCCGCCACCTCCGCCTCCACCGCTTCCACCAGTACCTCCACTCCCGCCACCACCTCCACCGCCACCCCCACCCCCCCCGCCACCCCCACCTCCTCCGCCACTGCCTCCTCTAGCTCCACCCGCTCCCTTGCCCCCCTTGCCCTTGCCAGAGCGGCGTCTACCGCTGGGGGCAGACGCCGCACCGACCGACTCAAAACCAGCGAGGTCGGCCGCAGCGGCAGAGGCGACAGAGGGCAGCAGGGGGGAAGGAGAACACCCCTCAAAGATGGGGGTGCGAGGGTCACCCCGAGAGGCCCCTACAGCGACTATGCTCTTCTCAGCCGCTAGCAGGGACTCCTCAAGGAGGTCGACAGTGAGGGTGGTGGGACAGACAGAGAGAAACTGGTCCCTAACGACACGAAGGGACTCAGGGAGACGGGTGACAAGAAAGTAGAGAGTGATGTACATGGGAGGAGGGTTGGCGGCGCGGAACTCAGCAGGAAGGGCAGCGCGGTAGCGAGCGTCACTAGCGCGGAGGTGGGTAATGAGGTCAGCGACAGTGGGAAAGGCAGCGAGGTCAGGGAAGAGAAAAGGTAGCATGAGGCGGCTCAGCGTAGCGGAGGAAGGGGAGGAGTAGCGTGCAACTACAGCGTCGTACAAGGCCTGAGCGGTCTTGCACTGACTAAAGTGGGCACGCTCGGAGGCGGCTCACGGGCGGCTGGGACGGCGCGCGGGGAGCTATCGGGCGGCTGGGCGGGCGGCCAGGGCGGCTCACGGGCGGCGGCGGCGGCGTCGGCAGCTCACGGGCGACGGCGGCGCACGGGCGGCGGCGTCGGCTTCGGCGGCTCACGGGCGGCGGCGGCGGCGTCGGCGGCTCACGGGCGACGGCAGCGGCAGCGGCTTCGGCGGCTCACGGGCGGCGTCGGCGGCGTCGGCGGCTCACGGGTGGCGGCGGCGGCTTCGGCTGCTCACGGGCGGCGTCGGCAGCTCACGGGCGGGCTAAAGGCCCACGGGTGGGCGGTTCGCGGGCAGCGCCGGCTCACTGGCAGGCGGCGTGACGGGCGGGCGGCGGGACGGGCGGCGGCGTCACGAGGGGGGGGTGACGGGACGGGCGGCGGCGTCACGGGCGGCGGTTCACGGGCGGCTGCGTCACGGGCGGCGCTCACGGGCGGCGCTAAAGGGTGGCGACGGGCGGCGGCTCACGGGCGGCGCTACGGGCGGCGGCTCACGGGGGGCGCTACGGGCGGCCGCACGGGCGGCGCTAACGGGCGGCCGCACGGGCGGCTCTACGGGCTGCGCAAAGGGCGGCGCGAACGGGCAGCCGCACGGGCGGCGCTAACGGGCGGCGTTTACGGGCGGCGCGAACGAGCGGCTCGAAAGGGCGGGCTCTAGGGCGGGCGCTAGGGCGGGCACTAGGGCGGGCGCCAGGGCAGAAAAAAAAAGTTCTAGGTGGTGGGCCCGAAGCACAGTTCCCACAGGGGAACCTGCTCTGATTCCATGTGAAGAAGTGAACGAGAGAATGTGTGAACTATGAACGAAGTGAGTACAAATAGGAAACCCTAGCTGGGTTGTACCCCCTATGGGATACCCCACTATAGCCTACACAACTAAGTAAGCTATAATGTTCTGACAATCAAGTGGTCTCACTCAAATAGAAAGTAGGAAATATATTCATCTAGTGAATGTAAGGGTTTGAAAGGTAACTAACGCACATGTGTAGAGAAAATTGTGCATCGGCCAGTCTGGCCGGCATTTCGCACTTATAGTGCAACTAGGGCCAAGGAGAACGGAAACGCTCATTTCTCAAAAAGTAGAGGGAATCTAGCGGTCTCACTCGATAAGAAGGTGGGAAATAAATCTAGTGAGCTAATAAGGTTCGAAAGGAATCTACTGACTGACCTTCTGATCGAGTGAGACCGCTAGATTCCCTTTTTTTTTTGAGAAATTAGCGTTTCCGTTCTCCTTGGCCCTACTTGCACTATAAGTGCGAAATGCCGGCCATACTGGCCGATGCACCATTTTCTCTACACATGTGCGTTAGTTACCTTTCAAACCCTTATGTTCACTAGATGAATAAATTTCCTACTTTCTTTTTGAGTGAGACCACTAGATTCCGTGTACTATGCGAGATCTGAGCGCTTCCGTTCTCCGTGGCATTTGCATTTTAAGTTCCGATACTGACTGACCTGGCCAATGCACCATTTTCTCTATACATGTGCGTTGAATACATTTCAAACCTTTTTAGCTGACTAGATTTATATATTTCCCACCTTTTGATCGAGTGAGACCGTTAGATTCCCTCTACTTTTTGAGAAACGAGCGTTTCCGTTCTCCCTGGCCCCACCTGAACTATGAGTGCGAAATGACGGCCAGACAGGCCGATGCACCATTTTCTCTACACATGTGCGTTAGTTACCTTTCAAACCCTTACGTTCACTAGATGAATATATTTCCTACCTTATATTTGAGTGAGACCACTAGATTCCGTGTATTATGCGAGATCTGAGCGGTTCCGTTTTCCCAGGCATTTGCACTCTAAGTTCCCATACTGACCGACCTAGCCAATGCACCACTTTCCATATACATATGCATTAGATTCCTTTCGAACCTTACGTTCACTAGATGAATTTATTTCCTACCTTCTATTTGAGTGAGACCACTAGATTCCGTGTACTATGCGAGATCTGAGCGCTTCCGTTCTCCCTGGCATTTGCACTCTAAGTTCCGATACTGACCGACCTGGCCAATGCACCATTTTCTCTATACATGTGCGTTGAATACATTTCAACCCTTTTTAGCTGACTAGATTTATATATTTCCCACCTTCTGATCGAGTGAGACCGTTAGATTCCCTCTACTTTTTGAGAAACGAGCGTTTCCGTTCTCCCTGGCCCCACCTGCACTATGAGTGCGAAATGCCGGCCAGACTGGCCGATGCACCATTTTCTCTACACATGTGCATTAGTTACCTTTCAAACAGTTACGTTCACTAGATGAATATATTTCCTACCTTATATTTGAGTGAGACCACTAGATTCCGTGTATTATGCGAGATCTGAGCGGTTCCGTTCTCCCAGGCATTTGCACTCTAAGTTCCCATACTGACCGACCTGGCCAATGCACCACTTTCCATATACATATGCATTAGATTCCTTCCGAACCTTATTAGCTAACTAGATTTATATATTTCCCACCGTCTGAACGAGTGAGACCGCTAGATTCCCTTTACTTTTTGAGAAATGAGCGTTTCCGTTCTCCTTGGCCCTACTTGCACTATAAGTGCGAAATGCCGGCCAGACTGGCCGATGCACCATTTTCTCTACACATGTGCGTTAGTTACCTTTCAAACCCTTACGTTCACTAGATGAATTTATTACCTACCTTCTATTTGAGTGAGACCACTAGATTCCGTGTACTATGCAAGATCTGAGCGCTTCCATTCTCCCTGGCATTTGCACTCTAAGTTCCCATACTGACCGACCTGGCCAATGCACCATTTTCCATATACATATGCATTAGATTCCTTTCGAACCTTATTAGCTCACTAGAGTTATATATTTCCCACCTTCTGATCGAGTGAGACCACTAGATTCCCTCTATTTTTTGAGAAATGAGCGTTTCCGTTCTCCTTGGCCCTAGTTGCACTATAAGTGCGAAATGCCGGCTCGACTGGCCGATGCACAATTTTCTCTACACATGTGCGTTAGTTTCCTTTCAAACCCTTACGTTCACTAGATGAATATATTTCGTACTTTCTATTTGAGTGAGACCACTTGATTCCGTGTACTATGCGAGATCTGAGCGCTTCCGTTCTCCCTGGCATTTGCATTTTAAGTTCCCATACTGACCGACCTGGCCAATGCACCATTTTCTCTATACATGTGCGTTGAATACATTTCAAACCTTTTTAGCTGACTAGATTTATATATTTCCCACCTTCTGATTGAGTGAGACCGTTAGATTCCCTCTACTTTTTGAGAAACGAGCGTTTCCGTTCTCCCTGGCCCCACCTGCACTATGAGTGCGAAATGCTGGCCAGACTGGCCGATGCACCATTTTCTCTACACATGTGCGTTAGTTACCTTTCAAACCCTTACGTTCACTAGATGAATTTATTTCCTACCTTCTATTTGAGTGAGACCACTAGATTCCGTGTACTGTGCGAGATCTGAGCGCTTCCGTTCTCCCTGGCATTTGCACTCTAAGTTCCCCTACTGACCGACCTGGCCAATGCACCATTTTCCATATACATATGCATTAGATTCCTTTCAAACCTTATTAGCTCACTAGATTTATATATTTCCCACCTTCTCATCGAGTGAGACCGCTAGATTCCCTCTACGTTTCGAGAAATGAGCGTTTCCGTTCTCCTTGGCCCTAGTTGCACTATAAGTGCGAAATGCCGGCCAGACTGGCCGATGCACAATTTTCTCTACACATGTGCGTTAGTTACCTTTCAAACCCTTACGTTCACTAGATGAATATATTTCCTACTTTCTATTTGAGTGAGACCACTTGATTCCGTGTACTATGCGAGATCTGAGCGCTTCCGTTCTCCCTGGCATTTGCATTTTAAGTTCCGATATTGACCGACCTGGCCAATGGACCATTTTCTCTATACATGTGCGTTGAATACATTTCAAACCTTTTTAGCTGACTAGATATATATATTTCCCACCTTCTGATCGAGTGAGACCGTTAGATTTCCTCTACTTTTTGAGAAACGAGCGTTTCCGTTCTCCCTGGCCCCACCTGCACTATGAGTACGAAATGCCGGCCAGACTGGCCGATGCACAATTTTCTCTATACATGTGCGTTAGTTACCTTTCAAACCCTTACGTTCACTAGATGAATATATTTCCTACTTTCTATTTGAGTGAGACCACTTGATTCCGTGTACTATGCGAGATCTGAGCGCTTCCGTTCTCCCTGGCATTTGCATTTTAAGTTCCGATACTGACCGACCTGGCCAATGCACCATTTTCTCTATACATGTGCGTTGAATACATTTCAAACCTTTTTAGCTGACTAGATTTATATATTTCCCACCTTCTGATTGAGTGAGACCGTTAGATTCCCTCTACTTTTTGAGAAACGAGCGTTTCCGTTCTCCTTGGCCCTAGTTGCACTATAAGTGCGTGTCAGAATCCCAACCACTAGACCATTGGGATAAAAGGGCTTGTTTCAGTAGCGGGTCAGTGCGCCCATAACCCCCCAGGCAAACGCGCCTGTAACCCCCCCTAGGATCGATCGGGGATCTCACAGTGTAGCTCTACTGACACCCCCCCACACTGGGAGGCCCAGGACTAAGCACAGCGGCACCGGCCTACATGTGCATACACCGGGAATCGAACCCGAGACCGCTCTGATACCATGTCAGAATCCCAACCACTAGACCATTGGGATAAAAGGGCTTGTTTCAGTAGCGGGTCAGTGCGCCCATAACCCCCCAGGCAAACGCGCCTGTAACCCCCCCTAGGATCGATCGGGGATCTCACAGTGTAGCTCTACTGACAGTGCGAAATGCCAACCAGACTGGCCGATGCACAATTTTCTCTACACATGTGCATTAGTTACCTTTCAAACCCTTATGTTCACTA